TAAGTATAAGATATATTATATTGAAAATGTAATTTATATCAGGAACCCGATGATAAATGATTTGTAAGTTTAATTTTAAATGCAATACAAGTAAGAGTCGTTAAATATGTCAATGCCAGGTATGGTTTTAGAAAATTCGTTGTATTTTCCACATATACGCACGATAGGAGCGTGACTCCCGAGATGAGATTCCGCGAAAGGAATATGAAATGTTTTTTGGATGTGAAAACGGGGATATTTACGCGGAACAGCAAATGAAATGCGGTCAAGGAGGTCACTGCACTTAACTTTATTGTGTACTATTTTATGTAGAAAACACAAATCTAGAATATCTCGTCTATTTCGGAGAGACATCATTTTAAACTTATCCAGTCGCTGATAGTAAGGCTGCCTATGTGAGATACCACTGGCATGAAAGGCAAGATGTCGATTAAAGGCGCGCTGTATACTTTCAACGCGTTGGGAGTGCACACTAGAAGATGGATTCCATATGACACTAGCAAATTCAAGGAGACTTCTTACAAAAGCATTATATAAAAGAATTTTAGTCCCAGATGAAAATCCTTTTGTATTACGCTCAATAAATCCTAAGAACTTCGCGGCTTTATTAACAATATTGTTTATACGAGATTTAAATATTAGCTTTCTGTCAATAGTTACTCATAAGTTTTTAATCTCCGGTATCTCTTGCAAAACAATTGAGTAACTAGAGACAAGCGGTTTTATTTTCCTGTTGTATTTTACATGGAAGCATTTGTTAGCATTAAGAGTCATACTATTGACCAATCACACCAATGGGATATTCTATTCAGATCTTCCTGTATGAGTTTTATATCCTCCACCGATTTTATTGGTTTATAAATTTTTAAATCATCAGCAAATAACGAGCAACGACAATTTTTGATTACAGTAGTGATGTCATTAATAAAAGCCAAGAATAATAGAGGGTCCAGATGCGAACCTTGAGGCACCCCGGATTGAGCTTGATACTGTTTGGATTCAAAACCATTGACTTTGAGATCTCTTCTCCAAACAAGATCTAAACCATTCAAACAAGGAAGGACCATACAGAGAAAGTTTATTAATGAGTTGCTTGTGGTCAACCTTGTCGAATGCACTGCTAAAGTCTGTATATTTGGCGGCAATTTCTTGGCCCTTGTCTACCTCTTTTAAAAGATCAGAAGTAAAATTACACAAATTAGTTTAAACTGAAAATCCACTTCTGAGTCCATGCTGCGAGCTAGTAAGAAAATTATCAAGGTACTTGGCAAGAACTGGGTGCACAAGACTTTCAAATAGTTTGGAAAAGCAAGAAAGAATAGATATAGGGCGATAATTTTTTATATCCATGCGATCACCCTTTTTAAAAACTGGGACTATTCGTGCCTTTTTCCATTCTTCAGGGAAGATACCATCTTCTAGGGAACGATTAAAAATAAGGGTCAATGGAAAAGCGATTTTTGAGCCACAACGTTTAACAAAAATGGGAGGGATACTATCTGAACCCGCACCCTTTTCAGTAGCTAATGTTTTAATTTTTTTAACGACATCTGTTTCATTAATCTTCAATTTACTCAAATGTGTAATATTGCTGCTTTACATAAAGCAAGCCGCTTTGTTGTTAGTTGTTTTGGTGTAAACGGATGCGAAATGGTTTGCAAATAAATTGGCTATTTCCGTTCCAGAGTTTGCCACCTTGTTATGCAATTTCATGGACGCGGGTAGAGTTGACTCGCCTTTCTTTTTATGTTTAATGTATTTCCAAAGGTGTTTTGGGTTTTTCGAAGTATCAGATTCTGCATTGTGTTTAAAGTTATTAAAACATGAAAAAAGAGTTTGTGACACCGACTGCGAAGTATTTGAAATTCTAGGTGATCTCTGGTGTTATTATATTTCCGACATTTTTTGTGGAGTTTTTCTTTCTCTGATAATAACTTAACCAAGCTATGTTTGAACCAATTAGGATACTTTGCTGAAATAATCTTACATTTAGGTATAGATAAATCGATGACTTCAAAGAGACGATTATAAAATACTTTAACCATAGCATTAACATCTTTGCATTCAGAAAATTCGTGCAACCAATCAATATTTTTAATTTTATCAATAATAATTTTATAACCAGCTTTAAAGTAATTATAATCTATACGAATTTTGAAATGAAGGAAGGAAATATGATCGAATTCTATACTTATTAAGAAACCTGGATGGTATGAATATAATTTACTAAGTATTTCAGGAGGCTTTGTAACTATAATGTTTGTTAAATTATTTAGCACTAAGTCGAAAAGTCTACCGTCACAGTTACTTATACAGTTATACTGGTATAAATTATTAATAGACATAAAGTCAACTGAGTGTCCTAGAGCATTGCTATAATTACATGGTGTCATGTATGAACATTTTTCACTAGCAGACCACTCAATAAAACCCATATTAAAGTCACCTATAACAAATAAGTCATCAACGTGGTTAGCAACATTATCCACGCTATCTAAAAATTTATTTAGGATTTCTAGTTTAACTGGTGGTGGCAAATAGACTACACAAAGTCCAATAGCAAAGCAAGTAGATGGTGTTGCGATGGGCTCACCTGTATCTCCCATTGTCGCCGATATATTCATGGAAGACTTTGAGGAGAAAGCCCTCCTTACTGCACCTGTTACACATAATGATCTACAAGCGGTACGTAGACGATACTTTCACAATTTTACCATCAGACAAAGTAACTGCATTTTTAGAACATCTTAACTCCATAAACTCTAAAATTCAATTTACTATGGAGTTAGAGGCAAATAATTCATTACCTTTCCTAGATGTGTTAGTCATCCGAAATCCTAACAACACCATTGGTCACACTGTGTATAGGAAAAAGACCCATACAAACCGATATTTAAACGGTGAATCTCACCACCATCCTTCACAGTTAGCTACCGTGGGCAAATCTTTGTTACAGAGAGCACGAGGGATCTGTGACAGCAAACACCTGGCCACCGAGCTTCGCACGTCAAGCAAGTTCTGCACGACAACAAGCTTCGGGTCCCGCGCCTACGTCACAGTGACCGAGTGAAGCCGGCCACAGTCGAGCGTGTGCCTGCTGTACTACCATATGTTAGAGGTGTCACATACAAGATTAGCTACATCTTGAAGCGAGCTTCTATTAGAACATTCTACAAGCCGCCGAAGAAGATTAGTCAGTTCCTACCATCAGTCAAGTGTCATATTCCTCTACAAGATGCAGGAGTGTACAAGCTTGATTGTGAATGTGGTCTCTCTTATATAGGACAACCGAAAAAAAAAAAAACCCCTATCCACATACACAGGTAACTCATGTAAGATGACATGTGGATCGAAGATGGACCTTTACTGCTGGCCATATGAGGACGCTCAAGGTTGATCGACAAACTATGAAGGTGTTAGGCAAGTAGTTCACACAATCTACGTGATAGACTTCGGTTCGATATCCACAGTAAAACCAGAGTAACCGACATAGCCTTACGGATTAGTAAGCTGAAGTGGCAAACGGCCGGACGCATAATTTGAAGAACAGACCACGGACGGTAAGGAACGTTTTTCGAGTGACAACCTCATACCTGCGTAGCCTCCTACTATATTATGTGATGATCTAGTAAAAGATGCTTTAAGTCGATGGATACAGGTGACTCAAAACCCTGCTTTGTGACAATTCCGGGGGGAAGCTTATGTTCGGCAGTTGAGTTATGAAAGCCTGTGATTTCCCTCTACTCATATCGAAGTTCATCACGCAGAGGAACTTCAAATACAGCCCTCTTAATAAATTTATTTCGTTTACGAAATATAAATTCAGCCACGCGTTAATACGCCAGAAGCGGAACAATTTAATCTAGCAATTTAAATTCATTACAAAATGCACGTCAGGAGCAGCAGCTGCAGTAAAGTAAGAAACTTAATTACGTTTAATACGTAATTTGTGCATAGCTCCAAAAAATAAGGGATTCGAGTAACTTGTTTGTGTTTTGTATTAAACTAGCCACCCACCACGACTTCTTCGGGGTGGGATCTATTAAATAATAATAATAATATAATAATAATAAAATGGCGTAGAAAATTGACGACCCCATCGCCCGCTGACGTAACAGTTAAGTGACCAAACTGCTACGTCAACGCAGTCAGTCAGCGCCTTGCGAGAGGTGTGAGCGCCGTGCCTTGGCAGAATTTAGGATGCAAAGGCCCGTTTGTGCTTATGGCCACACACGATACGGTGCCGGACCTGGGCGCCTCCCGTTAATGGGTGCCCAAATAATGGATGATGGATAAAAAGATAGTGCGCAAAGGGCCGCTGCCTGGGGCTCGCCGAGGCGCGTCTGGAGCTGGCGCTGGACGCGGCAGCATGCGGGCCACCAGCCGAGCGCGAGGAGCTGCACGGTCACCTAGCATCCCTCCGCATCCATCATCCCCACCATAAGGCTTGGTGTCGGCTGGGTCTTCTCGGGCTCAGCAAGCGGCACCCGCCGCTGGTGGAGCACGTCCTATGCGTTGGTCACAAGCAATGAACGCAAACGCACTGCGAGCGTACTTTAGGGCAAAAGGGGAAGAAACTGGATATTTGGCGTATCGGGCTACGATGCATCGTCTTTTTGCTGAGATGGAGCCATCTTTAACCGTCACAGAGGTCAAAATCGAAGTACCTGGCAGACCGAGTTCGGTATATCTTGCGCTCAAATATATTTGATGTCGCCGAACTCGAACAGCTACGGTTAGTGTCCTCATCGGATGAAAATGCTACAGCTGAGGATGCGGCGCCACAAATTGTAGAGCAACCCGCAAACGTGGATGCCGCCGTGAATACCCCAGTTGTGGTTGATTCAAACGATTATGTAACAGTCACCCAGGAACTGGAATTAGAGCATATAAGGAGTACATAGGAAGAGGCGATTGTGGAAACGCGCAGTACGCCTCTCGAAAATCGACCGCTTCCCCGCATAGCCCTAAGCAAGCGGAATTGCGGTGTCGTAAGGGCTCTAAACCCAATGCTGGTGACCTATTTGGAAGCCAGCCGGAACCTTTGCGAGACGGACTCTTTGGCAGTCTGCCGTATCATAGGCGCCAAGGTTTCCACGGCTGGATGCGCTACTGGCCCAAGTAGCGCTATCCCAGCATGGAGAAGAAGAATTGAGGAACGTATCGCAAAGTCTAGCCTTTACAATACGTTCCTCAATTCTTCTTCTCTCTGCACTCTTCTTCTCTTTGTTCTCATCGGTAGACTTATATGCTTCAGATCGGGCAATAACAGGCCAAGAATTGTGCGTACCGTCAGGATGGCATTTGCTGGGACAAATGTCAGTTTGTCCCAGCCGGATATAACGCAAAAACTGACGGAGCGCATAGATGATCTGAAGCAGAGAATCGCTGCTTGTTTCAGAGTAAGATTTTAACTGTAGGAATTTAGTTACTATTTCTTTACAATTGTAGCGTGGTTTAGAGTAGATGTTCCCAGCCTGATTAACTTTGTTATACAATAAAGGTCCCAGAAAAACATGTTGTCGTTTTGCAAACGGTGATGTCTCTTTAGGAATCCTGAATATTAGATCTTTACGTCGTTTATTCATGTGAATAACGTGATCAAAGGTAGTTTTAACATGATTGTGTAAAATTGATTTATACAGTTGTCGAACTGACAGGACTCCCGTATTTGAGTAAATCAGAGAAGTTGAATAGCTATAGGGTTTAAAAAGAATTACTTTTAATACCGCTCTTTATGCCCTTTCACTTTGCAGGATATAGTTTTTAAATGTTCCTCCCCATGAAGTTATGCAGTACGCAATTATTGATTGGCATAATGCGAGATACTACTACTAACTATAAGCAATTTAAAGTCAGTAGCAGTTCTTAGTCGTTTGAAAACAAATATTAATTTACGGATCCTATTGGTGAGTGTTTTAACGTGATATTTCCAGGAAAGTGTTGAGTCAATGTATACACCAAGATATTTTGTTTTTTGTAACTGTTCAATAGTGGTACACGTATTCGAACAGGAATCATGATGGGGGGACTGTGGACAGGTGTGAGCCACTATTTTAATATTAGATGGTTGAAGACGCTGTAGTTTGGTAAAAGTAATGTACTTAGTCTTTTCCAAGTTAAGAGTTAATAAATTATGCTGTAGCCATTTCATAACTCGTCCCAGCTCATTTTCTACGTTACGTGTTAGTTGATCCCAAGATGAACTATGGAATACCAAAGCTGTATCGTCTGCAAAAGCGAACAATTTCCCTTTGACTAGTATCAGGTTACATAAATCATTCACGTAGACCAAAAATAGGCTAGGACCAAGGATACTTCCCTGGGGAACTCCATAAGAAACACATTAGGAGTCATTTGTCACATCGTCAATTTTTACACATTGGGTTCGATTTTTTTAGATAACTACCAAATAATCGACCTCAAGTGTCCGTTAGCGCATCGCGGCGTCACTCCTTATTTCGTCTATATTCGACTCACAGCGTCTGCAAACGACCGCAATCTACAGATTCTTCACAGATTTCATCTTATGCTTATATAACTGTTTGTATTTTCATTTCTGATATTTTCACCAACAACCTGCAAAGCAGAAAATGGGAATTCAAAAACTGTTACGTAACATAATAATTTTTACTTCAAGTACATAAAATGATATATAGTATACGCATATGAGTAAACAAATTAGTAAGCTGAAGCAGGAATGGGCTAACCATGTAGCTCGAAGAAGTGACAACCGGTGGCGAACAAATGTTCTCCAGTGGCAACTACCGGCAAGCGAAGTTACGGCGTCTGCCCACTAGATGAAGTGACTACCTGATAAGACATGCAGGAAGTCGATGGATGCAGGTAGCACAGGATCGTGCTTTGTGGCATACCTTGGGCGAGGTCTATGTTCAGCAGTGGACTTGTGAAGGGCTGTAATGATGATGATGATGCATATATACCTACAATGACTTTTTAATGGATTTATTAAATCATAGAAATGTTACAGAATATATATATATATATATATATATATATATATATATATAAATATATATAACTGAGCTAGTGTTCGTCAGAAATTGCTGATAATGTGGAAGTGTTGGAACCCCAGATAAGGCCTACCATGAGTCATTGGGTTCTTCTGTCAAGGAATAATATTATGTCATATTTATTTAGCGACATAAATCAACAAATCGTAAAAAAAATATTTTATTAAACATATAATACATATAACAAATATGCCCCAGGTGAGGATCGAACTCACGACCTTAAGATTATGAAACTTACGCGCTGCCTACTGCGCTACCGAGCCTCGATTCTTTACTGTAAAAACAGAAGAAATTATAGAAATTTTACTTCTTTTATTTAAAGAAATAACAGGTCATTGAAGAATACTATTTCTACGTATTTTCTTGTGTTTAATTTACTTGTTGATTCGGATTTCGGATACTTTACAGCACACCTGAAACGTAGAGAATTCAAAACAAGTATAATAAACGGAATAAAATCCGTAAAAATAGTTTTGTTCAATGTGTTTCAGTTTTTTTAACAGTTTTTTTTATAATTAATTTATATTTATAAAAAAAATAATAAAGGTGACAAACGAGCACACAATTCACCTGATAGAAAGTGAATGCTGTGTCCCATAGACATCTACATTTATCTTCAATTAAATGCCTCGTTTCTAGTAAAAAGGGTCTCCGGTTCTTTACACTCACAATACTAAATACAGCAATATTAAGCTGCTATTTTACGCTGGTATTCTGTTAGAGCGTAGTCCTACCCCGGTCGAGCCGACCCATTCGTGCTGCAACCACAATATAGCTGCATCATCCCTATTTTTAGGAATTTTCATCATAACAGTCCCTTACGCGCGCAACTCAGGTTTAATCCTCGCCGTTACCAATTAAATTGTTTTTTTACGAAAATTTTACGTGCCGATTTACCACGAGCTCGGCGGTGAAGCCAAACATCGTGAGGAAACCTACATGTCTGAGATATAAGAAAAAATTTTGAAAGACATGTGAAGTTCACCAATAGAGCCGTTGCCGTTGAAAGTTGCCCTAAAACCTTAAGGCCTGTGCCCAGCAAGTGGGACGTATACATAGGCTTTAAGAGTCCTTTACAAGTCCACTTATGAACGTAGGCCGTCTGTAAGGAATGTCACAAAGCACGTTCTGCATCCCTCGACTTCCTGCATGTCTTACCAGGTTGTCACTTCATCACTTCATCTACCAGAACGAGGCTTCTACTCGAGAACCTGTCTTTCCCATCGATGTCGATTCTTCAAGCTATGTAGTATGGCCAATCCATTGCCATTTAAGCTTACTAATCAGTTTCTAGAAATACTAATCCTGATTATAATGTTTACAGCATTCGGCACGTTGCACATAACCGGATCGTTGCTTCATAACATTTTATAATAGATACAAAAAGTATTCACTAATTTCCCTAGCGGCGGTTAGCGACAACTGCCAATGACCGCAATACGAGTAAACTACATTACCGTATTTATTACTTAGCATGTTAGCGAGAATATGCGTTCAAATGTGGCATTAAAGATACAGTTTTGATGAGGATGCTCCAATAGCGTTCTGAAAAACTAAATGAGACTTTCCTGTTAAACAAAAAGATAGTGACAACCCTGCAACAGTAGGCATTTAGGTCTCGCACAGCGCAGGAGGTCCCGAGGTAACTATTACTGGGCTGTTTAGATACACTGCAAAACAGATGTTATGATATTAAAGAAAAAATCTCCTTCTGCCCAGAAATCCTCCTGAGCTAGTGCCACTTTCTGACTTATGTCTGCCGTCAAGCAGAAGTGCTTTCACTACTGAGTTCTGGATTGAGTTGTTTAGGGAGCCAGTACAATAAAGCAGTGAGGCATCCCAGCTCCGTCCTCAGAGGTGGCAACCTTCTTTGTTTGAAGTTGGGTGCAGGCGTCCATAAACTGCAGTTGCCCCCCACCACCGGGTGGACGTGTGCTCGCAAACATTTTTAGTAGTCCTTCTCTATGATATAGATGGAATTTTGTATCAGTACTTTACCTAATCTAGTTTATTTTTATCAAAATTATGCATTTCATGTGATTCTACTGTTCTTTTAATATAATTAGTATGTACATAAAAATATTTTACCTAGAAATTAAATTATCTTTATAATAGCGTACATTTTGACAGTGCCGGATTAACCACGTAGCAAGAGTAGCAGTTGCTATGGGCCCCGCGTATAAGGGGGCCAAGCCAAGAAGTCCTCCTCGCGTATCCAAGCCAAGAGTGAAACTTATTGAGACGTGGTATATTGAATTTACTTGATGTCACAAAAACGTGAAATGTTACATCTTTTTCGACTAAGATAATCCACGTCCACAAAAACCAAATTCATACGTGGTAGAGCTATGCTGCAGCTATATTAATTGTATAGTTGTTGCACGAATGGGTCGACTCAACCGGGGTAGGACAACGCTCTCACAGAATACATGCGTGAAATAGTAGCTTATTGCTGCTGTGTTTTGTATGGTTAGTGTAGAGAACCAGAGACCAGATGTACTGCAAACGAGACATTACATCTTAGTCCTCAGGGGAAATGCGTCTGTATATCGATTCTTTATTAAAGATCGATGTAGATGTCTATGGGCCACAGAATCCACTTAGCGTCAGGTGAACTGTGCGCACGTTAGTATCAGTGTTCGTTTCAGTTTTCAACTGTCGTCTATTACGACCCCCGCGGCATGGTGAGTGAGTTCACTTGCACCGCCACTGAGAGGCACAATACCAGACGTTAATTTTTAGATATACCTCTTATAAAATGATGAATTATTTGTAGAGAAATTCTTTGAAATACATATTAAGGGATTTTTTTGTTTATTGTGCTTTGGTTTCTGATGGGTCTATAAAAACGAGGCATTCTCAGGTGAAATGACATTTTCCTTCACCTTCATCTAAAGTAAATTTTGAATACCAGCGTAAAATAGCAGCTTAGTTAGTGTAGTGAACCGGAAACCCTTTTTACTGGAAAAGAGGCATTTCATCTTAGTCCTCACGGGTGACAACGAATCAGCATTTAGATTCAAGATCGAGGATTGATGTAGAAGTCTATAGGCCGCAGAAACCATTTACCATCAGGTTGACTGTTTGTTCGTTTGTCACCCATATCCTATAAAAATGATACCTCGTTTTAAGGCGAAACAGATGTCGTATTATCGACGGTAGTGTGTCTTTCCTAGTGCAGTGGATTACTGGTGACGGCGATAGTGCACGCTGGTGAGGAGGGAGGTGCTCTTGAAACTAAGTAAGACGCATCACTTTATTTCATTACGCGCATCATAGCTTATTAATATTTAACATGTTTAAAATAATGGATATCCGCAAAGTAACGCTTTATTCAATTAATTGTTTATTTTAATGCTAATCGTCATAAGTTACACTAAAAATCATGTGAGAAGACACGGCGAAAGAAATTGCTCAGATTTTCTTCTTGTCAAGGCTACCTTATCTCATAATGATAGCAGATTTAAAAACAGTCTTCTCGGCTGCGCTCAGTTGACTAAAAGCGTTACTGAGAATTGACCGTAACTGAGTGCGCAATACATGGAGGAGCAGAG